TATAAATTTTATTATTTATTTATTAAATTTAATAAATTCTCAATTTTACTAATTTAATTTTACGATTTTAATTTTATTCATTTAAAATAATTTTAAGTAAAATCTCAATTTGATAACTTTGATGTCTACGCTTCCCAATATGTATAAAATACAAAATACCATGCATTAAGTTATCCAGTACATACGCCTTTACAGTACTCGTTCTCAAGGTTTGGCTTTTGCAAAAGACACGTTACCCTGCATCAGACACGTTACCCTGCATCAAAATTAAAGATAACCTTGGATTTGAAATTCATTCATGGAAAAGCATAAAAAATTATAGAGTGAAATTTTAATTAAAAGTAAGGTCACGTCTTATTATGATTGGTTGGATAAAAAATAATTAAAAATAAAGTTATTTTAATTTGTCATATTATTTTTTTTACATCATAAATAATTATTTTTTGACCATGTAAATTAATTACATGATATCATTTTTATTTCATAAAAAAATGTCATTTTTAAATTGAGTTAACGTACACTTGTGATTTAATTGATGAAGGGAAAAAAACTTAAATTTTTTTTATCAAAATAAAAAGTCTAAATTAAAGTTTTAACCATCACATTTTTATTTAATGTGATGCGATTACATTTTTATTTAATGTGATGCGCTCCATACCTCGCATAAGCATAAGAACAAGTCAGTCAACATTATCAAGCGCCTTAAAATTAACGAAAACGCCTTAAAATTTTGTATCAGTCACTCTTCCTTTGCCAACCTCCTTATCCCATGTCGCAAATGCGCGTGTCTCCTACTCTTGCGCCTCTACCAAACCCTCTTTCCTCAGCGTGCTACCCCGGCCTAAACTGGTGGTATTCCCGTACGAGACCAAGCTTCCTCCCCCCACATAGCCGCTCCCTTGCAACCTCCCTACCTGGCTCAGCCCGTCAAGAAGCAGCCTTTAGCCTTTTCACCTGCCCCCCACACCCTCCCTTTTCCACACGGCAGCGGCAGCACTCATAGCCTCTTCCCAAATAAATTAGAAATCAAAAAAATATAATCAACTAGCGATTATTATTAAGAATATTAAAAGTCAAATAATCAATAATTAAAAATTTAAAGTCAAAAACAATTAACAATTACAATAATGGATAATTACAAAAGAAAAGATACGAAAGAAGAAATGACTTAATGGTTAAAATTTTGAGATTTTAAATTAAAAATTTTAAATTTCAATTTTAAGTTTAATAGGAAGAAATTTTAAAAAAGAATTATTTTTTTTTCATATAAACCATTGTCATCATATGTTATATATATATATAAGTAATTGCAAAAGAACATCCTGAGTAAAAGAAAAGGTATTAGAACAATAAAGTTATATATTGAACTGGGAGAAAAAATTATGGATTTAGGTAATCAATTATGTTATAAGTGATAAATAAGTTTAGGTTTGTCCTTTTTACCTAATAATTAACATATATATACTGTAATTTGTTATTTTACCGTTAAAGGGTTAGTATTTATTCGTCTTACCTTCAAAAATTAAGAAAAAAAAAAAGATAAAAATTATCTTAATGCATGTTTTAAAATTAAGGTAGTTTAATCTTTTTCAATAAAAATTTATTGAAACGACGTAATTTTGGGATGATTTTTCTCCTGATATTTAGG